GTCATTTTTCTAAATTGGGGTCATAAGCACAACCCATAGTGTATTTTTCCCAGACTTAATAAAATATGTGTGCACATATACAGACTTCTCTTTATTACATTGGGGCCATAATTCCTAAACCACTATACTTTTGATTTCCACCTTTTAAAATATTTTTGGTCTCTAGTCTCACTGCCAAGTTATCAGCTATCACTCCTTGGTTGTAAACGTGTCTCCCTCTAGCTGTGTCCCCTCATACTCTGTGGTTGATGAGCTAATAACCCCCAAACTTCAGGTGGGCTGAGAAACTCCTGACAGGAAAGTGGACACACTGATAACAGCTTCTGAAGGTTAGGATTCCAGAAGCCCTTGATAAGATCAACATACCAACCTTCCCACAATGGGATTTACAACTTGGCTGTGGCAGAGGAACAGATCTGCATATGAAATCTCCCCACACACACACACACACACACACACACACACACACACACACACACACACACACACACACAGAGCCAACCCTGCCTAAGGGTTCTCTTTTCTGTCTCTGTGCCTGGGCACACATCTTTGGGCAAGGAGTTGGGTGGCAGATCCAAGATGCACTGTGTAAAGTACAAGTAAGTGGCTGTGCCTGAACTCCACTTCAAGGGTGATTTGGGCACCTTAATGGCTGCTGCTTTCCAGGTTCCTGCTTGGTTTTGAACAGCTCAAGTTTTCAAATAAGTGACCTTGACTATGGAAAGTCTTGCAACCTTTGCTAAAGAACTCCAGTTTAACAGTAAGCATTGAACTGTTCTTAGAAACTGTAAAATAAAGTCGTTTTTTTTTTTTCTTTAAACCCAGGAGAGCTCATAGTCCAAAGAAAAATTCCATTTCTTCATTTATAAGTCATCCATTGGCACATAAGCCAGATCTCAGTCATTTTTCAGGCATGTTGTGGGCCTCTAACTCTCAAGTTGCTATTTGCCTGCGTGAGGATGACTTGTGGGCTTCCCCATTTATGGCCCTGTAATGGAATGGATGGGAATTTGGAGAACCATGAGGTAACTACACCTTGCTTTGTCACTGAAAATGCTGGCCCTGAGCAGGTAAGCAGAAGCAGAGCAGCCAATACAAACTCAAGCAGAGGAGCAGGAATTTCGTGACTCTTTCAGAAAGACACACAGCTGGGTTTGCAGCCACTCTGGGGCTTGGCAAGGAAAAGACATCAGGATTTCTCATGTCAGTCTCTAAAGATCCAGAGGCAAGGACTGGGGGCACCTGGGGCTCAGGACAGGCCTGAAAGAAAATCCAGCTTATCATTGCTTTGATGCTTTTTCCAGCATGCAGCACATGTTCTGGAAGGTTCATGGGCTCCCGGGCTCCTCTTGCACCCCCAGGTAGGGAGGGGCCAAGCACCTGCTCGGAAAGCCACGTGCAAATTCAGGGTCTGCTCTGCCAAAGAAAACACCCCTCCTCCCCGCCCCCCCCAACTCCAGCATGTATGCTCAAAAGGGCCTCTGTCTGCCCTCCCCGCCCCCCACAGACCTGCTAAGCAGATGTGGGCTTGGGCGATAGCTAGAGGGGCTAGGGAGCCAGCAGTCAGTCTACAATTAGGACTGTGCTTGCCCCCACCTGCCTTGCCTGCTTGCTCTTGACAAGCACACAGCTGAGAAGCATCTTTCCTTCCAGCAGTCAGAAACATGAGAAAACCTTGAGGTTCCCAAACACTGTCGTCTAACTACACTGAGGGAAAGGGAGAAAAGGGGCACACTACAGAAACGTAAAATCCAGTCACCCAAACAGACCACGTCTTAAAGTGACGGAACGTGAGGACAAGTATTAACGAAAACCGGTAAGTCTTAGCTTCCATAGTACCAGAAAGTACTATGCAAGCTGCCAAGGGAGAGAAGCTATTAATAGGCCCACCTAGCTGGGACACCTATAACCAGCACAGCAAAATATCTGTACATGTGGGACTGCAATGGAGATTGCTGAATTTGCAAAAGCATTTTCAGATAAAGTAATTTTTTTAAAGATGCAACAAAAATAAAATCTGTGTTATTATAGCTTCCCTGTTGTCACCGTGACAGATATCTGAGTGGAGAGCAACATTTTACCTTGGGGACGGTTGGTTTTTGTTTGGGGGATTTGGTGCTGCTGTTGTTGCTGTTTCGAGACGAAGGCTATGTAACCTTAGCTGCCTTGGAACTCAGTGCGTAGACCAGGCTGGCCTCAAACTCAGAGATCTGCCTGCCTCTGCCTCTGCCTCCAGAGTGCTGGGATTAAGGGTGTGAGGCACCAAGCCAAGACCAAAGCCAACTCTTTTTCTTTCTTACAAGAGCCCAAATCCACTGTTATTTACTTACACTTCGTTGGTTTCAACCAGGAGAGGGACAGCATCACGTAGACTCTGTCCAGTGCCCTTTACTGGAAGGTGGCTTCAGATTTAACACGAACCATGCCACACCACTTTTTCCATGGCCCAAGTTACCCAGATTATTCCGGTTCTGTCTGGTTTGCCTAAGGGAGTCAAACAAACTGTGTTGTTTTTGCTTTGTACACATAAGCACATGTCCTGTAGAGCTCAGTTTCATCTCAGGCATAAACATCTTCAAGTTTAGGAAGAGCTGTGTACTCTCTTTAGTTCCAGAGACCTTGCTTATACCAGCAAAAATGGCTTTGTACCTCAGCCTTCCAGGCATATTTGCCTTTCGGTTATCCTGTTCCCAGCAGGCTGCTATGAGTGGCAAGATTTCGATTTTTCTCAATGAAGGAAAATGCATTTCTGCTCACAGCCTTGGTGGTTGCAGCCCAGAGTTACCTGCTCCACTGTTTCTGGCCCTGTGGTGAGCGGAACTTCACAGTGGTGCGTACAGGGCGGAAGGACCAAGTACCTAGGAAGCAAAAAGAGACAGAAAGGGCCTAGGGACAAAAACAAAGGTGTCAAGGACAGGAACGGAGTTCCTCTGACAGCAGTTCTCAACCTGTGGATCTCAACACCTTTGGGGTTCAAACAACCCTTTCAGAGGAGTCGCCTAAGACCGTCCTAAAATACAGATATTTACATTACGACTTCTAACAGTAGCAAAATTACAGTTATGAGGTGGCAGCATTGGGGTCCCCACAACATGAGGAACTGTATTAAAGGGCCACAGCATTAGGAAGGTGGAGAACCACTGCTCTAACAAGGCTCCAGCCCCTAAAGTTTCCACTGCCTTCCATCAACAGCCTATTCAGCTATGAATCCAATAATCCATTATTGAAATTAGAACCATCAGGATCCAATTACTTCCCAAAGGCTCCCACTTCTGAACACTACCACGTTGCATACCAAGTCCTCAATACATGAGCTTTGGGAGGATGTTTCACATCTGAGCCATGTGTCACACTAACCTTTTTAGTATTCTTCATTGACTTAGTAGATCCCAGTAAGCTTAGATATATGGTTTGATGTGGTTCATGGAGCCAGGAGGTCTAAGACACGGATGAATGATGCCGGCATTGTGGAATGCAGATCTGAAGTCAGAAAACTTAGATTACATGTTGACTTTGCTTCTTTCCTTCTCTGTGTGGCCTTGGACCATGCTTAACTGCTCTGAGCTTCCCTACCACCCATAAAGGTAGGTATCCAGACCTCAGACCAGCAAGAGAAATAAATGATACAGGCATCTGAAACCACTGATTAAAAACTAAGTTTGTGGTGAAGGTGCAAGGAAGGGGAACTTAAATAGCCCAGGCTAGGCATGAGCGCCATGGGCAGACTGGGTAGAAGAACAATTAGGCTCCTCACTGAAAAACCAATCTCTGAGCCTACACCAATTGTCTTAAGCTAAAATCCCACCTCCTCCACCATATCCCCAAGTTTCCAGGATCACACAGTATTTAGGGTTTCTGTGTTCTCCATGGAAAGCACATGAAGGTAAACAAGCCAACCTATAATTTATAAATTCAATGTGGAAAGACAGGTGGGTATGCCAGGTGTCAGTCTGCATCTTCTGCCCATCTAGGCCTGGAAAGAGAGCCCCCTTGAAATATCCTTCCCCAATCCCTCCTACTTCAACTTGACCTTAACATCAAAAGTTGGTTTTAGAAACTTTAGGTCCAAGAACTGTCCAGGGAAGACAGGCTTTGTCACAGATCTGGTCCACAGCTGTATAAGATAAGCAGGCTCAGAGTTCCCAGAAATCTGCACGGCCTGTGGCCATCCATTCTGGGCTCTGAGCATTTAGAAGATCCCACAGTTTCTGCTCACAGCTCTAGGGCAGCTCTCAACTGCCTAGTTGCCAAGTGGCCTTTCCTTCCCTTCTCCCTGAAACTAGAGCCTTCACTAATGTGAGAGAAGGTCCTCGTAACCATAGCATTCCAACAGGACCTCCTCCCTTTCCTTCTCCAAGGACTGAAAAGAACCACACCTAATCAGACATCATTATCCTTGCTGGTATATCATGCAGGAAATAAGTAGACAGATGCCCTGTGAAGAAGACCGGTACACAGAAAACCCAGACAAGACTTCAGGCTGGGCCCAAAGAGTCTCTTCTGTTGCTGAGATGTAATAAGTTGTTCATATGACATCTCTCTCGAAGTCCCACGCAGACCGCTCTCAGCACGGAAAGTACATGAGGGTGAACAAACCAGCCTACAAATTCAATGTCCCAAAATAAGGTTTATTCTCTGGCACGTCAACCTTGCCAAAGGTTCATCTCAATTCATACAATGCTTCAATTAGATCAAGATCATAGAAATGTCACTGAGATCATCTTTGATTCCGTGAGCAAAAGGGACCTGAAGGGGTTAAAGAGATACGGCAGAGGGAGGGAGGGCTACAGGGGGTTAACCAGCCAATGAGCACATGTCATTTTCCTTTATTCAAGTGATTCTCATGCTATTCAAATATCCTATAGTTGATAATAACATTTTTTCATTCTGAGGTAGGTGTTTTAATTTTTGTTGCTGTTTTGAGAAGTTCTTCTTCAACGAATAATTTTTAGTTGTCTACTTTTAAAGGTACCGTGCAATTTTTAAATAATTTTTCAAAGTCAGGCTGACACTTCCAGTTCATTCTGGCCAGACTTTGCTGCATCATGTATAGAAAGACAGCTGTTCTGCCTAGAACCTGTCTCAGAAATTGACCTATATATCCTGTGCCCCATAGCATCCACTTCCTCAAAGATGTAGCCAGGGGGCTCCGTGTATGATGCTGGGCATCTGCCCATTTCCTTGGGAGTAAAGCTAATAGAGTAAGTAGTCAGACCCTCCACAGGGATGTTTTGAGGGCCAACCCAGGCGGGCTTGTAGTTTTTAGTGGTGACAGGTGGGTGGGGCACATAACAGGTCTTAGTGGTCGTCTGGCAGTCCAAAGGCTCAACAGGCAGGCTCAGATGGTGAGTGGGTTTGACTGGCTTTGTCTGCACAGCTGCCCACTGCTTGTAGTCATCCTTGGTGGTGGTGGAGCTTTCAAAGTGGCCCCTGTTCTTAATGGAAGGTACAGGTCGGCAAGTTTGAGCTGGGAAACCCTTAAGGTATCTGTAATGGGTCTGCGTAGTTGTCAAAAGATCCATCTTCTCCTCAGGAAGGACGTAGGGAACAGGAGCTTTGGTGAATATCTGGGGTGTTTCCCAAGCTTGGAACTTATCTTGAAACTCAGTGCTGTTAGAGAAAGGTATATCTTGCGCAGGCAACTTGGCTGGAGGTTTGGAGCTCTTGGCGGGCTCCCCTAGGAGGCCTCGGTAGGACTCTTTGTGCGTGGTCAGGTTCTCAAAAGGGATGTCACAGGGTCTAAATTTCTCAGGCTCTCTAACAAAGCGCTTCTCCACAGGGTGGGGCACATAGCTCATCTTGTAGTTAGTTAGATCCTCCAAGGGGACATTATAGAGCTTTGGTTTGGCTGGAGGCTTACAGCTCACAGTAGTCACAAGGCCTTTTACAGTATAGTCATCCTGGTGTGTGGTTCTGTTTTCAAACCAGGTAGACTCTGGTCGGTACTTGTGTGGTGGACGAATAAGATCTCGTTTTGGTTGGTTCCAAGGTAAATAATCAGCTGAAATGAAAGAAGAGGTAATCACTGATCAATCAGGTCTCCCAACTTTCATGTGTTTTAACAAGCCCCAAAGCCATAAGCCAGTTTTCAATTACGATCTCTGATATAACAGAACAAAGTAGATCCCTGCCACCATCTCATGCATAAACTTGGTATTTCCACTTCATGGTGCTTGCAGCCTGCTGTGCAGAGAGACCAATTTACTAAAGATCTCATATGCCACAATGCTGTGCACAGAGATTTTAGAGACCTAAGGTTTGAATCTATTGCAGCAGAGAAGTCTGACCCAAAGGCAGCCCTCTACCTGTGCAGGGAAAAGGCTGCCTCTCACTGGCAGCGTGCATGGAAAGATGCATGTGGTATCCAGTAACACGGAGATTCACACAACCCACCACTGATGATCCACCAGCCCAGCCAAACCAGGTCTACCTAGTCAATGGCTACTTTTGTGTTCTTGTGATGCTCATGTCTAATCCACATACACCAAATATACTGCTCCAAGGGAATAAGAATATGCTACTGCCTAACGAGAGAGTTGCAATGGCTGCCTTGGCCTCAGTTCTCCGTATGTTAGTTCATTTTCTCTTCAGAACTCCCTAATGAAAATATTCATTTTATAGATGCAGAAATGGAAACACAGAGAATTAAGGAATTCATACCCAGATTACTCTGTCTGAAGTTTTAAAAAAAAGTGTGGGTTCAGACGCAGTTTCAGAAGCCATGGTCAAACCCACAGCACTCTTGAGAATATTATGTGCCAGCCAGTTACGCTAAGGCCTTTCCATACATAATCCTGTGACATCTTTACAGTCATCTTTTGTGATGATTATGATTTGTCTCTGTTGTGCAGGTTTCCAAAAGACAGTCTCAGAGAAACTAAAAGGCTTGCCTGAAAATTGAAGACATAGACCTGACTCTGCAGTCATGCATCCGAACATCCCCAGTCACAACAGGAGAACTACATTTCTAAACACAGACTGAGAAAGAATAACCCAGGAAAAATTGTAGAGAAGAGCTAACTTCAGGGTGTCTGAAGAATGAAGCTCTGCCAGCTGGATCAAATACATAGTCAGAGCAAGAGAAACCTCTATGGTAGGTGGGAATGGCTAAGATGTAAGGACTCGCCCCAAAAGAAATCTGCACTGCCGGGCGGTGGTGGAGCACGCCTTTAAACCCAGCACTCGGGAGGCAGAGGCAGGCAGATCTCTATGAGTTTGAGGCCAGCCTGGTCTACAGAGCGAGATCCAGGAAAGGTACAAAGCTACACAGAAAAACCCTGTCTCAAAAAAAAACCTAAAAAAAAGAAAAAGAAAGAAAGAAAGAAAGAAAAAGAAAGAAAGAAAGAAAGAAAGAAAGAAAGAAAGAAAGAAAGAAAGAAAGAAAGAAAGGAAAAAAGAAATCTGCACTGGAGGAGCGGAGACACCCATCAGGTAGTTTCTGAAGCAACTTTATCCCAAATCTTCAGGACAGCTCAGAGACCAGAAGTCCAGTTGAGAACAACAGACCTGAGCATAGAGCATGCTGCCTTTCCCTTTAAAACCTGGCTCACAGTTGAGGCCTGTGTTGCCTCATTCTACTCATCAGGTGCCAGGCCTAAAGTCACAGGGATGATCCACAAAGAGTTCTCTTGCACCTTTAGGGACAGACAGGTAGACCAAATGCAGCTTCTCAGGAGCCTTAGACTTAAGCAATCAACAGAGTGGAGGCCGCAGGCATGATTTTTAACAGCTTGGTAGAGGTATAATTTGTGTAACAAAATGTGCCACCTAGGAAACCTTTGTCTATCTCAAACACCACACATTTCCAGTTTTTTGCTGCTGTTTTGTTTTTATTTTTAGCACATGTTGATTTACTGCAGTATGCAGGGTTCCATTGTAACATTTCATGCATGCATATAATGGGCCATTGATCATATTGTTCATACCCCATTATGGTCTGTTATACTTAGGGGTTTGTGTCTTTCCATCCAGTAGTGCTATTTGGGGAGGTTGTAGAACCTTTGGGATGAAGGCCCTGGTTGGCAGACACAGGCCACTGGGAACAGGGCCTTGAGCATTATAGCCCAGGCAGGCTTCTAGTTCTTTCTCTGCCCCTTGATCTTCAAGAAGAGGCAGGCAGAGCCAGCCTGGTCTTCAGAGCAAGTTCCAGGACAGCCAGGGCTACACAAAGAAACCCTGTCTCTAGAAAAGAAAAGAAAACAAAAGAAAAGAAAACAGAGTTTGTATAGTCTGGCTGCACTAGAGCTCACTGTGAGGATCAGGCTAGCCTTGAACTCACAGATTTGCCTGTGTCTGCCTTCCAAGTGCTGGGATTAATGTCATGCACCACCACACCTGGCTTAAAAAAAAATATGTGTACACATTTGTCTCTCTGAATTTATGTGTGCCACATGGGTGCAGAAGCCCATTACAGCCTGAAGAGAAAGAGTTGAGTCACTAAGAACTAGTATTAGAGGTGGTTGTGAGCTGCCTGATGTGGGCACTAAGAACCAAACCCAGGTATGGTGATATATTGTGTTTCCCAAAATATTGTGCACCCTAATAAACTTATCTGGGGTCAGAGAACAGAACAGCCATAACATTAAACATAGAGGTTAGGCAGTGGTAGTACATGCCTTTAATCCTAACATTCCAGAGGCAGAGATCCATCTGGATCTCTGTGAGTTCAAAGCCACACTGGAAACAGCCAGGCATGGTGACTCATGCCTTTAATCCCAGGAAGTGTTGGCAGAAAGATATATAAGGCATGAGGACCAGGAACTAAAGTTGGTTAAGCTTTCAGGCTTTTGAGCAGCTGAGATTCATTCTGGATGAGGACTCAGAGGCTTCCAGTCTGAGGAAACAGGATCAGCTGAGGTATTGGCAAGATCCTTTAAGATTCATGCTACACCCAGGTCCTCTGCAAGAGCAGCAAGCACTCAACCTCTGAGTCACCTCTCCAGGCACTGACTTTTTTACTACTCTTACGTTTCCATTCATTATTCCCCTTCTGATGTTTATCTAATTTGGGCTTTGAACTATGTTACTGTTGGGAAATCTTTTCTTGTTGAATGTTGTTCTTTCTAATCTCTTGCTCTATTCTTTCCATCCCCTCTTCTTTCTGCCTTTGTCTATTCAAGTTTCTTCTCCCTATCCCTGTGTCCTTCTGTGGCCTCATTCATTTACTGTTTCCATTCTTACCCTGGATAGTTCCTAACTGCATAGCACATAGTCCAGCAGCTGCCACTTTCACACCTATAATCATTGATGACCCATAATCATTGATGACCTATAATCATTAATGACCCCTGGTTTTCTGCATCTCCTATGCTGTGGTGTTGTCTCCGTCACCATGGTTTGTTTCTTCCTCATTAAGTGGTTCTAGGGATCGAATCTCCAAAAGTAGACTGTTCAAGAACACCCCAAATCCAGAAGAGATATCCAAACCAGCAGATGTACAGATCCCAACACCAAAACATAAGAAGCGTGAAAAAGCAATCTAGCATGACAGCTCCAGAAGGTCAGAACTCAACTATCGAACTGAAATAAACTGCCAGATAATTTTTAAAGTTTTATGATTAAAAAATTATCAATGACCTGAAAGGGATATAAACAAGCAGATGAATTCAGTCCAGACCCTAGAGAGGAAAGTTGTGGGAGAAACATCAGCAAAGTTGAAGAGAACACCAGAAGTAGGGAAGAAAATATCGGCAACATAGAAGAAAAATTCAGTAAGGGAGTTAAGATTCTTTTTTTTTTTTTAAGAAATATTGAAAATGAAAAACTCAGTGAAATCATCAAAGAACACAATGGAAACCATTACCCACAGACTCAACCAAGTGAAAGAAACAATATCATGTCTGGAGGACATGGCGATGGAACACGACACTCACGTATGATAAGGGGGCTTGAGATATAGATGGGTCAGTGCTTCAGAATGCTTGCTGCTCTTGCAGGGGACTAGAGTTCACATCCCGGCACCCACACTGGGCAGAGCTCACAACTACCTGTAACCCTATCTCCAGAGGATCCAGCTCCCTCCTCTGCCTTCCATAAACAATGACACACAGAGAGAGACTTACACTCATATAAATAAGAATAAATCCTTTTACAATAAAATAAATGTCAATAAGGTAAAATAAACAAATCAGCACGACCACAATGTCTAAGACCTCTGAGAACAAACCTAAGCATCTATATGATAGAAGAAAGAGCCAAACAAACACTTTAGTGCTTAGGAATACACAAACTGGTCAATGAAATTACAGCAAAAACATCCCAAATCTAAGGGAGGAATTATATTCAAATACCAGAGGCATTTAAAATCCCAAATAGACATAATTGGAAAAGAACCCCCACCACCACCAGATATAGTATAGTCAAGCCCTCAAAAACACAAAGCAAGGAAATAATATTAATTAGAAGGGAACACCAACTCACCTACAGAGGCAGAAATATCTAATAACATCAGCTCTAGGGTCAGCAAAACTCAAAGCCAGCAACCTTCAAAGCATGGACAGATACACTTCAACCCCTGAAAGTAAATAACTGCCAACCAGGGGTGCTATAAACAGCAAAACTCTCTTTTAGAATTGGTAGAAAAAAATAATGCTTCTTAAAGGAATACTAGATATTGGGGAAATAAATACAGTCTCAATCATGAATCACAGGACAGAACAAATTTCATAACTAACAAAGCTAGAGAAGAATCTAACATGTCCAACACAGTAAACCAGCATTCATGATACTGACCGAAAGGAGAATAAAGAAAAAGAAATGTAAGCAACCAGAAAAACAACCAGTAGAATTGTGGAAATTGGCCAGAATACAGATAGTGCATACCTATACCCTAGCACTTTGGAGTTTGGATTTTGGCAAGAAAATCATGAGTTCAAGATCATCTTTAGCTATCTACTAGTTCAAAGCAAGCCGAGGCTACAGAAGACAGGCAATATTGTCAAAAAGAAGAAAAAAGGAGGAAGAGGAAGGGGAGGAGGAGGAGAGGGAGGGAGGGAGAGATAG